TAGTACGAAAGTAGCACGTTCGCATAGAAAAATGCGATCAGACACACGCCCTGTCCTCGTGAAGCTTGACTTCGAGCCTCTAGATCTTGCTGATGGCGACATGTCGGTTGCGGCCAACATAACTTAGGAGAACTAGAAGAAACGGTTGTTGACTTATGGATCTGATTACGAAATGACCTCAGCACCGATTGACCAGATTGTTATAAGCAAAAACTGAGCAAGTACAGTTCTCTATTTCCGATTAGTGTGGGGTGTAGAGACAGGCAAAAAACTCCGCTCGAAAATATGTTCATGAGAGCCCGAGTGAGACCGCGTCTAATGGCAGTCTCAAAAGGTCCACCACTTAGAAGAACATATTGTGATACAACAGGTCGGAAAATCGTGCCTCAACGGAAGGTGGTAGCTTGTAGTTGGTGGCTATTGACAGGGGATAGGCGGCATAGCAAGAACCCGGGGGACAGTATACCGTCCCAAGCACTTTAGCTGGCAGAGTGCATCTGAGACCATCGTCCACTTGGGTTAAAAATGAGTAAACTTCCGATGGATATATCCAATACTACACTCCTCATTATGCGGTGGAAATGATATCTCCTTTCTGGCTAGGTTAGGGATCTGAAAGGGTAATTTGAACCAAAAAGGCCCTTAGTCTATCTGAAAAGGGCGCCAAAATGTCTCTGAGGAATTAACAAAACACGGAGAAAAAAGGGATATACGGACGCGAGAAGCACTTGCCAAAAAAATACTCACACAAGGTTTACCGAAGTTTGGAAATGCAAAAATAGTGCGACCCGATATTACGTAATAGCGGATGGAAAGGCGATATTTCCGGGTCAGATAATTTATGGGAAGGCGAGAGCTGGCAACGCACCTGGGGTAGAGGTTTTTGCGAGCTTTGGCAGTCGGTCCGAGGATTTGTCTTAGACTGAGAAGTAACGGCCATACCCTTGTTACCGGCGACAGAGGGGTTGGACGTGACACTCAGCGCACTGGTTTTGGTCTTCTTCTTATTGGCCGATTGACCTTTTGCTGTACTGGCATCATGCGGAGACGCGGCCACCTTCTGGGCAAAAGTACCTCCCCCCGCTTGTCCTTTATTGGCTTTAAGGACCTGGAATGGGGAGGCAACAGAGACGAGACTATAGTGAAGAAGGACGAAGTGAAGTAAAAAGGGCATCAGTCAGTCCACTGACCTCTGCAGTTTGTTCAGCTAAAATGGTAGTCATCGGAGTAGGCTGAGGTGCATTAGACACTGGCTTGCCGGCTGCACTGCCCCACCTGGCTGCCGCAGGCAAGCTGAACCCCGCCATCGAGGACATCGCAGCAGTGTACTCAGCCTCACGCTTTTTTTGGGCCTTAAGCGCAGCTTGGCGAGCAGCCTGTTCCTTCTTTCTCGCCTCGGCTTCGTAGGCCAGCTCGGCCATACGTCTCTCTTCGGCCAACCGAGCCGCCTCAGCATCCCGAGCTGCCAGTCGCTCTGAGGCTGCTTGTCTGCGGCGCTCCTCCTCTTGCGCCCACGCCTTCTGGCGCAACTCCTCCGCTGTAGGCCTGGACAGAGAAAGAGCGGAAAGCACATGTAGACGTGCGATGGAGTCGCTCCGAAAGAAGGATGTAAAGTGGGCCCGTATAATATTAAAAGTTTCTCCATCGCCACCACCAGCCGGTCTTGTATGTACGAAGAAGTCTGGCTCTATGAAAAAAGTTGGGTGGGGCCTTAAAAGAACACAGACCAAAGCGGCGTTGGGAAGAGTACGGTGAAACAGTTACTTCCTTGTCGGAAAAGCTGCGAGAAACTTCGTGTTCAAAATCCCCAGTGCGTTTCGATTATTTCCTTATAAAACTCCCAGCTAGTGAACTCAGGTTTGCAACTACCTCTCACTCCTCGTCTTATTTATACCCACGTAGGCCGCAACGGTTGTTGGGATATGACAGGTGACTGTCCAAAGACTGCTTTTTCCCGCAGGAGCAGCTGAGAGTATGCCCGTGATGGGTAAGCTGGGGGGCAAGAAAGAAAGCAGATAATGAGCGGGAACTTGAAAATTTAGGTCAGATGTGGTTATTTATCCCCACCTGAAGTAAACCAACCCCGGCCACCTGTAATACGGGACCGGTGGGAATAGGGTTTTTACAGGTGAGACCGGGGAACGCACAGGCGACGAGGTCAAGTAGTTGGATGCAGACGAAAAGCTATTGGGAATGCGCGGTTGTACATTGGGTGGTTGAGAAATAATTACCCCAACAGTATTGTGCCCATTATGTGGGGCTATATAAACACATATTGTCACAATGTGAACGCTCAAAACATGGATTGGATAAAAAACAGCTTGGTGTTTTTTCCTAAAATATTTTTGAAGCAAGTTTCTGAAATACATTGGCCCAGGAGGCTCTCCAAAGGTGTTCACTGCATGCTTCATTGTGGAATAATGGATAAAACAGAAGTATTCCCAACAGGGTCTGAAGCCAGCAATTAAACATGAATTATCATTAAACCGCAGGTTTACAAAGTTTGACGGCTCGTGATTCGGCATCCATGAGAACCAC